ATTTCTACACAAAAACAAATGTTGCTACTATGCTCAGCGTAGTCGATTACCTATAGTCCATGACATTTTGAGATTCCCAGAGATGTCTGCTCGGAGATAGACACGTGCCCGGGGAAAGCAAGCCCTGCCCGAACGACGATAGCTAGAGAGCCGGGATTTGCATAATTTTGTAGAGTAACGTCCGAACTATCTACGCATGCAAAAAATTACTAACATTGTATGTTAGTTTTCTGAGAACGGAGCTGGTTTTTCAAAGATCCTCTGAAAATCCGATCTCTGGAATTTTTTCAAAAGTTGCTTCCGCTTGTGAAAAGTTCTGCTCAAGTCTTGGCTATTGAACAGCGAAAATCGCAAGTCTGTATCTCATTCCTATCAAAAGTTATTCAAAAAATGCCCCAGGTCTTGTATTTTGGGATGGATAGTAGAAATATTTTTAAAAATACGATCAGTCTCTTTTTCAGTGCAATATTTACGAACAGATGGAATCCTGAAAAAATTTCATGGTCAACATTTCTTAAAAGTTTGACTGCAATCGATCGTATGATTACTAAGATAGATTTGTGACTGAAGAAATCTTAAAATAGTTGACAATTTGATAAGTGTTCTTGTGTCTAGGGATATCCGCCTACCTCTGGTGCTATAGCGTGGGCTCGTTTTTTACTGACACGAATCAAATTACCAATGATAAAATTTCGTTCAGTTGATCAATTACTTCAATCAGAAGTTGGCTTAGATGTAAAACGATGTTTCATTGAACTTGGCAATATGATAAATCAGTATGAACAAACATTGTACGATAGATGGATTGAAATGGTTGTAAAAAATTTACCGTTATATTTAAAACAAAGTTTATTGATTGATGCTGAAGAGCGACCTGATTTGTTCATGTCAAATGCCACTTCTCCACCACTGAATGGACAAGGCGATGGACAATTAAATATTAATATTCGTTTAGATGGACCATCGTATAAACTTCCATTATATATCACAAGTAAAAATAAATATGTAGATAATATTTCATCAACACTTCAAATGAAATATGTTCAAAAACAACAAAATCAACGTTCAATAGCAACAAAACTAAGTACAGGCACAGAAAAATGTAACATTTATCAATATGTTTTGGATCCGACGAGTACAGGACAAAAAATTGAAATCAAATATTTAGTTTGTTATGATCCAGACTTAAAAGAATCATTGACAGAATGCAAGTATTTAGAAACACTCGGTTATGAATTACCCGACATAGTACAACAAACAACGTTACAACATTCAAAATTTGAAAATCTATCAAATCAATTACGAATTATGTTAGAAGATTATCATCTACTACTGGCATCGTTAGATACCACTGAAGTATCACTACTAGAAACACATTTAGATCAGTTACAAACGGCACTGAAACCAGGTATCACTTTCTTGTCTTCAATGCTATTAATTTTTTCATTATGTTTTATATTATATTGTAGTCCATTTTTGCTCTTTTGATTGATACATAGAGTATCTTGTTTAGCACTGCTTGGTTCTGGTGAAAAAGTTGTTATAAAAAAAATTTGAACCAGCAAAAGTTCGGAATAAAACCTTCTAATACTAAAAACTTTGGTAATTTTTACTACTACTATCCATTTCAATGAATAGTGCACTCGGTTGTGAGCTGGATAACTCCGGATAGGAAGCAGTTAGAGACCTACGGTTTTCAACATTCGAAAGAGAATAATATTTTTTATATAGAAATGTCGAAAACTGATTGGTCAACAATTGATCAATCAGGTGAGTTTTCGCTTGACATATTGGGCGCTGTCTAGCGAAAAGATTTCCCGTTGGATTTGAAATTCTAATACAACCATTCGATAAAGAAAATTTTTCTCTATTGATATACACAAGGCCCAGCTTTTTAGCTTGTGCTGTTCAAGAACTATAAGCAATTTTCTGAGAGCCTCAATTTCGGCCAGCTGACCTTGGATCACTCCAAAAAACCTCGGAATATAGGTAATCGACCATGCTGAATCGAGTGGTGCTGTCCATTTTCAGTTTTGAAGCGAATTAATTCGCTAGATTAAACCTTTGAAATCGACTCAATACGCCGCATAGCGCGACGTCGCGCTATGAAGAAGAGAAATAAGATTTCTCTTTCTTGTGGCATCAGACGAAGAAACAATGCTAACAACGACTTTTATATATCTCTTCTATTTGATTACTCAAACTATTTTTTCACAACATATCTCAAACATTTGTCAAACATATCTCGATTACCTGTATTCCGAGGTTTTTTGGAGTGATCCAAGGTCAGCTGGCCGAAATCAAGGCTCTCAGAAAAATGCTTATAGTTCTTGAACAGCACAAGCTAAAGAGCTGGGCCTAGTGTATATCAATAGAGAAAAATTTTCTTTATCGAATGGTTGTATTAGAATTTCAAATCCAACGGGGAATCTTTCCGGAGTTATCCAACTTACAACCGAGTGCATTATTCATTGAAATGGATAGTAGTTCTTGGTTCAAGCTTCTAGGAATGATAGGAAAATTTTGATCAAAGCACAGTAGTTTTTCTTGAGATAAGGGTATTCTGATTGAGAAGTATAAAGAAAAATGTCATCAACAAACGGTTTTGAAAGTTCAGCACTGCATAATATCGTCGAACGTGGAAACAATTAGAAAACAAGTAGCATTAAAACGTAGTGTTGATTCTAATGAATGTATATTAAAATAAGATTCCTCTTTCTTGTAGCATCAGACGAAGAAACAAGACTAGTAACGCCTTTTATATATTCTCTTCTATTTGATTACTCAAACTATTTTTTCACAATATATCTCACAAACGTTTTTCAACTACGAGCTGATCATACTGAATAAAAACATTACATATCAATCAAAAGAGCAGAATATATTATACAATTTGATATATAACATAATGAGAAAAGTTGGAAAAATAAGTGGACAAAATTGTCCAGAAAAAATTTTGTCGATTAATGTCAAAAAGTCTGTCACCATAACAAGTCTAGATATCTATACTATGCAGGCGAACATTTCACCAAAACTTGAAGTTGACAAAATTGTTGTCAATATTTTATTAATTTTTGGTTCAAGGTGCATCGCGAATATCTTGGGGCGAAGTGAGCGCATCCGAATATGTACAATTGTGTCAGACACATTTAAATCGTTTACATTCATTATTAAATCAAATACGTAAGAACTCAGCTGATATTCAAGAACATTTACAAAGCTTTCGAACATGTGCTATTGATCCTGTTGTACCACGTCATGATGATGGTACATTGTATAATTGTCGAGATTACTTTGAGTTTATTGAATCAAAACGTAAGGAAATAATTAATGGTTTAAAAAGGCGATATGAGTTAATTGGACCGTTAATTACAAAAGTTGAAGCTTTAGTATTTAATACGAGCACGGGACGTCATAAAAATATGCGATCATTCTAGTAAGAATATTTATCGAAAGTGTATGTATACAAGATAGAAAATAGCGATAATGTTTAGTTGTTCTTTTCTAGTGCCTATTGGGAACAAGAAATATTTCATGTAAATAATATTTATTAGAAGTTTTAAATTATTGACTCATCTATATCAGTTTGATTGTTGGTTATTTTAGGCTTTAGTCGAATTAGTTGTGAAAAATCTTTGTCAATTTAATGAGTCAATACATGGAATTCCATTATTTATTGTCAATGTAATATTAGCACAGTCAAGAATTAAATTACAACCACCAATGGAAGAAATATCAAATTATATTCAACGAAGTGCACACGGTCTACGAGAATTACCAAAACATTTTAGTCGATGGCTTCATGGAACATGTAACCTTTTAAATAATCTTAGTCTCTATCTTTGAAAATCTCTTTTCTTTTTATAGGTACTCCATGTCCATTACCCCTATGGATTGATAATGATCATGAACATGAAATACCAGATTTCACATTCAATAATGATGTTCAACATCATCCTGTAAAATATTTTCTCTTCGTTATATATATCCCATTTTACTTTCTATTTTCGTTGAGGATGTTACTCATATGTATAAACCAAGAGCTTATATTGGACGAATTGCTGATGCTATTAATCGAACACTTCTTCAATGGTTATCCTACAATGAATTATGGAGAATTGATAAAGTCCTTCATACAAACAGGTAAATTCCAATCTAAATGTATGGAATAGAGAGAATCTGACAATTATATATATATCATTAGATTTGCTATAAAAAATCGTACATATGCTGAATATGACGATATTATGAGCATATTTTCAAAAATCGATCAAAAATTAGATCGTCATCTTGTTAATAAAAATATTTATTGTATTGAATTATCATTTAAACAATTTCGTCAAGGTCTTCAACAACATTGCAATGATTGGATTAAATTATATGGTCAACGTTTATACGCAAAAGTATCACAAATGTTAAAAGATATTGATGATACTATACAAAATTTATCTAAAGGTCTTGATCATGATGCCGATACCGTACCGGATTTAAAATTTGTATTATATATTATTTCTCAAATAAATCAACGTCAAGAAGAATTGGATCATAATATTGATGAGATAGAACAAAGTTATAGAGTATTACACATGTACAATTATGACTATTCTCAAACAGAATGGAATCTTTTATTTGAATTAAAAACTAAATTAAAACAATTAATTCAACGTTCTTGTCTAGTTCAACATCGTCTTAAACCGATTGCCAATCGTTTTCGTAATATAATAAATTATGATATTCAATTATTTGAACATGTTATAAATGATTTTGTTCAAAAATTTGATAAACAAGGACCAAATACAATTGTCAATGATTTAGAGAAAAGTCTAATAGTTATGAGAGAATTTCAAGATGATTTAAAACGAATTGAACAACGAAAAATTGAAATGATAAATGTAATGAAATTATTTAATATTCATATTACTAATTATCCACATTTAGCAAGAGTAATTAAAGATATGCAAAGTTTACAAATGTTGTTTAGTCTCTATGAAGATTTTAAAAGAAATTATTTATTATGGTCAAATATATTGTGGAATGATTTAGATATAAATGATTTAATCACGAATGTTGATCAATTTCTAAAAATATATAGACAATTACCGAGAGATGTTAAACAGCAAGTCATTGGAAAAACAATTAAAAATTATTTACAAGGTATGTGGACAAGACGAAATGAGAGCGTATTTATTTAAGCCACCCCGTCAGAAATACAATTTTTTTTCTAAAAAGTCGATACTGAGCTAAACACATCATCAGACAGCCCATAATGTCTACTATCAGAATCCATAATTATTTGATCTTCATCAAAAGGCTATGCAGGTTTTTAGAAGAGTTTTCTGGAAGCCTTAACAAACTGACTTTTCGAAAATTTCACCTGCTGATAAAAAGTCAAATCCAAAAATATTTTCAACAAGACTAGACTGTCGAGCAAATATTTCTGATCAAAATGAGATATCGGCCAGCTTCGAACGATGGTTTGATCAAAAAGAAAAGTTATGAGGATTTTGCTAGAAGCCCTAAACCATGCATTAGATACTGGCGCCACCATATCTCGAAAGCGACGTTCACTTTGACAGCATTTCGTAGCTACAAGATTTCTCGGTAATGAAACGTCGTTGAGAAGTGGGGCTGGTCTTAAACTGAAGCTAACAACTGTGGCTAGAGGCTAATAGAGCCCGATTTTTAATATTCAGTCCACATAGATTTAATATTTCGCTATTCATTTTTTTTATTCAGATTTCAAGAGTTCATTACCCATAATCAGTGATTTAAAAAACAATGCATTACACGAGCGACACTGGAAACAGTTAATTCAAGAAACCGGTAAATGGCAAGATAGTTTTGGATTTTTAAATGAATAAAATTATACTTTTTATAGGTATTGATATTAATCTTACAGACAATGTTCTAACATTAGGAAATTTATTTCAAATGAATTTATATCTATATAATGAGACAATACAAGCCATTTTACAAACAGCTATTAAAGAATTACAAATCGAAAAAAATTTGAAAGATATTCAACAACAATGGAATACAATGAAATTTGTCTTACATAAACATTTTCGATTTAGTACGGGTGGCGGACAACAAGAAAGAGGATTTATTATATCAGGAGTCGACGATATATTACAAGCACTAGATGATTCTAGTTTACTTTTGAATGGTATGACTGATGTTTTTACTATATTTTTACTAATGCTTATATATTTTAGGTATTACTACGTCTCGTTTTGTTGGTGTTTACCTTCAAACAGTCGAACAATGGATTAAAATGTTCTCGCTTATATCCGATGTGAGTATCGATTCTTACATCATCAATATTTTCTAAATTTATTAAATCTAGAAAGCTAGAAATTCAGTAATATAATATTTTAGTTTTTTTAAGGTAATAAAATTGTGGATAATTGTTCAACAAAAATGGATATATCTTGAAAATATATTTTTGGGTATGAATGTTCAATTGGGAGATGAAACAAAACGTTTTGATACAGCTGATAAATTATATCGAAAAATCATGAATGAAACATCACGAAATGCATTGGTCAAAGATGCGTGTACAAATATCGGACGATATAATGATTTAAAGTCAATATTAAACATATTAGAAAAATGTCAGAAGAGTTTAAATGAATATTTGGATACGAAAAGAAATGCATTTCCAAGATTTTATTTTATATCCGACGATGAACTTTTGTACGTGATTAATTAAAATTATTTCTTTTAGTTCATATTTAAGAAAAACTCTTATTTATCAATACAAATGTTGATGTTAATTTAGATCCATTCTTGGTTCAACTGATCCAAAAACCATTACACCCTATTTACAAAAAATATTTGATAATATTGGTGCATTGAAATTTGTTCGACATGAGAAAACTGCTACGCTAAAAGAAGACAATGAGATTGGATCAGATGAAAAATCAGTTGTGCATAGTATATTACCATCGTCATCAAAAGCAATGTTACCATTGACATCCACTATAGAACTGACAAAAAATGTGAATCACAATGCAACAATGGCAGTACATCAAACAGAACCAGTACCAATTATATTTCCCGATACTGATGATTCACTAAAGTCGAGTGTAATCCACAAACAACCACAAAGTCTAGCTCCATCATCGTCAGAAGCGTTTGTTATTGATCCTCAGTTACATGAACAACAACCATTAGTACAACAAACCGAAAAACTGATCAGACAACAAAGTCAAACTACGACAATAGCAACAATTCATAGTGATTCAAACCAAGATGTTCCGTTAATTGCTGTTGCCATGATATCAGTAGAGAAAGAAACTATGAGATTTGTGGAATCCGTAAAATGCGAAGGAAAAGTCGAAGATTGGATGTCTGCCATATCGACTGAAATGAAACGATCGAATAGATGGATTACTAAAGAGTCAACATTTTATTATAGATTTAAACGGTCTAGATTGCAATGGATGAAAGTGTATATAGGTAGGTAATTGGAAAAAAAGGTTCAGATATCATTTTACTATTATTCTTCTCGTAATAAGGTAGCATATGCTTTTTGAATATCTGTAGATAAAAAAAAATGTTTAGATTTTTAGTATTTTGCAGGGGTGACGTTACTCTATCTTTTCATATATTCGATGTAAAATCTTGGTTTTTTCAAGTGATTCACCTAACAGTTGACAAAAGATGGAGTTGCTAGATCATAAATTTGTGACGAATTTTAACTTAAACATGCTAGCTACATAGATCAGACTGTCGTCTACAATTCATTACAAAGCTAACATCTACATTTCTTATTGTTTTCGGATAGCAGACATTTTCATGGAACAATCATACTGCGGGTACCATTGCATCTGATTAAAACCTTTATCCAGAGATGTGCACCGTAGCTGTTGCCAGAGACCTGGCCTTTCCCTGTGAAAAATTGTTGTACCCTCCATCTACCCTACCCTGTGACACCGGAAAATTCGTTCTGCCCTACGATATAATTCAACGAGATTTGTCAAACAAAGTCCGATCCCTACCCCGAGACGTCAGATAACATTACAGCCCTGGCTCTACTCTATCTTGCAGGATAGGGTAGGATAGTGCAGGGTACGGGCGCCCTGCATCAAGGTCCTCCTTCTACTCAAAAATCTGTTTTGGAAGAAATAGTCGATCTGAATGAAAATTACGACGAATATTATTTCTATCAAAATATGTTGACAGTAAAAGTTTCCATCCAAAATCTTGAGTTTATATGAGGCAAAAAATAGATATGGGCATTTACCTGAATTCTTCTCTATTTTGAGCCCCAGAAAGCTCAGGTCGATAATAATTTAAAGAGAAAACTTGCCACTATGATATGGTAGAGTCGATGAAATTTGCATTCCTTGCTTTTCCCCAGTATCTGTTATGAAAGCCAGAAAAATCACGGGCTAGTTTTTAGAATCCTTTTGGTGCTCAAAGGCGGAGATAAAAATAAAAAATAAGGGCTTCTTCAAGCCATACCATCGAACTTTCTCTTTCACTGATAATCAATCCGAGCATTCTGAAGCTCAAAATAAAGGAGATGTTTTGTAAATGGCGAAAGATCTAAAGTAAACAAACAAATTTGATACAAAACACTGTGCATTTTAGGACGTGTAGAAAAATGCTTTAGTTTTTAAAGCAGAGTAGCACTGAGTTTTGCTACGTCTTATTCTGACTAGAAGAGTTTGCTTTACAAACTGCCATGTTCAGATAAAAATTTAGTTCCATACGTGTCCACAGAAAAACCCATATTTGAAGATCTTATTTTTCAAAGCTCCTGGAAAACTTTCTGAAAACCCATGAAATTACTCCTGGGACAAAAGATGATATAGATTGTGAGAGAATACGCTCTAGGCTATTTGCCCATCTGTAAATCCTGAAATTGACTTTCTTGTGAGTAAATCTGTTTAAATTGACTTTTCTTAAGTAAACCTATCTATTTTTGGCCATTTTCACGAAAAATCAAAAATATGTGTACTTTAGTTCAAATCGATCCGGACTACTTCGGGGCATCAAGATCTACTTTATTTTATCTATTGTTCTACACTTAAGATTACGAAAGATAATCTCTTACAGTGGAAAATTTCCAGAAAAACTTTTGAAAATCGAAGTTTCAGAGATTTCAAGACTTTTATTGAACTTCATGTTATAGTGTAGATCAAATAGAGTTTATCGTAAAATTTCGATTGTTACCAATTTATGAACTTTTTAACTTTCCGTGAGAGTAGTCAATTAATTTCATCTAAAATATGTTGGAACAGCGTTTTCATCTTTGTCAGAAAGCAAACGTTACAAGACGATTTAATGGAGTCGATAACCTATCTTTCTATAAGATGCATATAACTCAAACTTGTAGTGAATTTTATTTTTGACTTATCGTACATATTCTAAGTCGTCACATTGCGACGATCACGAATATCACCTTCCTAGCCGCGAAAACTACTTTCTTCATGGTCAAAATCTCGCATTGCTAAAAAGTTCTCAAAAACGCCCAAATCGTTCGTTTTGAGAAAAGTCGATTTTTTCCGCAACCATTTAACTTTTAGTCCTAAATTTTTTTTCAACTAATTCGCCATCTAAAACTGAATAAGACCATGCACTTGAGAGATAAATTTGACACACAGTTAGATGCGCTGAACAGCGGGCTACAAAGTTACGAGGAGAATTTGTTAAAATTCCTTTTCCTTGCTGAGAAAAGCTCATTTTACTAAAAGACCGCAAAGTGACTTTCAGTTTTTGACTCAAATTTAGTCAAGATAATGTCTAGCACTTCTGCTCTAGGCTGAATTAGGACCGCAAAAATCGTGGGTACATTTTGAGAGATACATGTTTGGCCGTTTCTGCTGAATAGCCTTTTTGTTCAAAATCGTTTTCAAGTGCGTGGCCTTATTCAGTTTTAGATGGCGAATTAGTTGAAAAAAAATTTAGGCCTAAAAGTTAAATGATTGCGGAAAAAATCGACTTTTCTCAAAACGAACGATTTGGGCGTTTTTGAGAACTTTTTGGTAATGCGAGATTTTGACCATGAAGAAAGTAGTTTTCGCGGCTAGGAAGGTGATATTCGTGATCGTCGCAATGTGACGACTTAGAATATGTACGATAAGTCATAAATAAAATTCACTACAAGTTTGAGTTATATGCATCTTACATTTCGGAGATTACCAGACATAATGGTACTAAATTACTATACGGCTGAGGAAAATATGATCATTTTTCTATTGTGAAATGAATAGTAGTCAAAATAGATATGGTATACATAAGTTCACTTTTAGGTATGGTTGTTTTGGCTGTCAATCAGTTATGGTGGACGTGGGAAGTCGAAGATCAATTCAATAAAATGGTAACACAACAGCAACGGTCCCCAATGAAAACATATTTTCAACAATTACATACACAAATAGAAGAAATTGTTCTTGAAATGAGACAAATGTTGATACCAAATGATTATAGAAAATTTGAAGCAGTGTTAACCATTGATGTTCATGCAAGAGACAGCGTAGAAATTTTGATAAGAGATGGTATTACAGAGCCACATGAATTTGCATGGCAATGCCAGTTACGATACTATTGGCTTCAAAAAGAAGATAATCTCGTTTTAAGACAATGTACTGGACAATTTGATTACGGTTATGGTGAATAGTTTACTTAACATTTTAAAGTTAATTGATGATTATCATTTTTTATATTTTAGAATATTTTGGTCTTAATGGACGTCTTGTTATTACGCCGTTAACTGATCGAATCTATTTAACGTTAACGCAGGCATTATCAATGTTTTTGGGAGGAGCACCTGCAGGCCCTGCTGGTGAAATACATAATTTTTCCACATTTGTATATTTTTTTTCTCTCTCTCTCTTTTCTAGGTACAGGAAAAACGGAAACAGTTAAAGATTTGGCTAAAGCAATGGGTTTACTATGTATTGTAACAAATTGTGGTGAAGGTATGGACTACAAAACAATTGGAAAAAATTTAAATGGCCTATGTCAAAGTGGTTCATGGGGTTGTTTCGATGAATTTAATCGTATCGATGCCTCTGTACTATCGGTTATATCAACTCAAATAAAAACAATTCAACAAGCATTAATGATGAAATTTGAACGATTTATGTTTGAAGAAACAGAAATAAAATTAGATAGACGTGTTGGAATATTGTGAGTAATAATTACATTTGAGAATGTCTATAAATAATTGACATCGTATTATTAGCATTACCATGAATCCTGGATATGAAGGTAATGATTTTACCCTTATGTTAACTTCAAAATTAATTTTTATTATTTGATTGTAGGCAGAACAGAATTACCCGAAAGTGTTAAAATATTATTTCGACCAACTGTTTGCATTGTTCCTGATAATCAATATATATGTGAAATCAAATTATTTGCTAATGGTTTTATGAATGCTAAAGTATTGGCAAAAAAGATTATTACATTGTATCGAAATGCTATGAAATTATTATCAAAACAATATCACTATGATTGGAGTCTAAGAGGAATTAAAGCCGTTTTAACTATGGCCGAACAGTTACGTCGAACAATAATGAAAGATGCATCAGAAGAAGTTATTCTATTACGAGCATTAAGAGATATGAATTTAACAAAATTTGTTTATGATGATATTAATTTATTTCTTGGATTGATTAATGATCTATTTCCAAATGTTGATTGTCCAAGAATATACTATGACAATTTTAATCGAGCAATCGAAGATGTTTTAAATGAAAAAAATTATATTTTAGTACCAGAGCAAATTGAAAAAATTATACAATTATATGAAACAATGATGACAAGACATTCAACGATGATAGTTGGACCAACAAGTGGTGGAAAAACAGTGATACTAAATACTATGGCCGATGCTCAAACAAAACTAGGCAATAAAACATTATTATATGTTTTAAATCCAAAAGCAATGACCGTTATTGAATTATACGGTTTTCTTGACCCATTGACACGTGAATGGACAGATGGCGTATTATCAAATATTTATCGTACAATCAACAAATTGACAATAAAAATGGAGAGACGATATATTGTGTACGATGGTGATGTTGATGCATTATGGATTGAAAATATGAACAGTGTAATGGATGATAATAAACTGCTGACATTGGCTAATGGTGAACGAATTCGTTTACAAAATCATTGTGCTATGTTATTCGAAGTAAGTATTGATCGATCAATTTTATTATTCTCAACACATTGTTTCTTATTTTATTGTTTAAAAGGTTGGTGATTTACAATATGCATCACCTGCAACTGTATCTCGTTGTGGCATGGTTTATGTTGATCCCGGTAAGATAATAGATGAGTATAAATTAATTCAAATAATTTTATTTTCAGAAAATCTTGGACCTCATCCGATATGGAAACGTTGGTTAAAGATGAATTTAGCTGATCGACCAAGTGAACAAGAATACTTAGACGATTTGTATAGTCGATATATAAAAAATATATTAAATTTTATTTATGAAGGTAAAACTGAGACTAGTCAACGTTCAAGAATGAAAATGATCATACCGTTAACACAAGTGAACATTGTCGTACAATTAACAAAGTTATTAGAGTCATTACTGATAAGACCATTTTTAAATGATAGAAAAACGCAGATTACACATGAATTTATTCATTCAATTTATATTGAATGTATGATATGGTCATTTGGCTCATGTTTAAAACAAAATGATCGTGTGATATTAGATGGTTATATAAAATATTTATGTCCAATGCCAACTGGATTAAGTGGCATAAAAGCAAAAGTTGGAGAAATTCCCATTGAAAAACCGTTATTATTCGATCATATATTTCAAACAGAATCAAATCAATGGATGAAATGGAATGACATCATTGAACCATATGAACATGATCGAACAAAACGTTTTAGTGAATTATTGGTGAGTACAGTTGATACTGTTCGATTAGAATGGTTAATTGCATCAATGATAGCCATACATCAGCCAATACTCATTGTGGGTGATACCGGTACAAGTAAAACGGCCACAATTCGTTCTTATATTCGAAAGTTAAATCCAGAACGTTATGTATCATTAATTTTAAATTTTTCATCACGTACGAAAGCCATCGATGTACAACGTTCTATTGAAGTACAAGTGGAAAAACGAGCCAAAGATATATGGGGACCACCTCCTGGAACCAGATTAGTTTTATTTTTAGATGATGTATCAATGCCACATATTGACACATATGGTACGCAACAATCTACAGCATTGCTCAAATTATTCATTGAAAAACGTGGAATATACGAACGTTTTGATGCGCGTGTATGGAAATTTATATCGGATACAGAAATCATTGCTACAATGGGCACACCAGGTATACTCGTTGGAATACGATCGCAATTAAGAGTTTCAGACTTTTGGGAGTTCTTCACGGAGAGAGAAAAACAAATCGGTGAGCTTAGGTGAGCCAAATATTTTGTACTTTGACAGAAAACGTTTTCGATTGTTATATGCTACTCTAGTCTGGATTTGTGTCTCGCTTTCATTTCATCTATTTTTCAGAACAACCTTTGTTCAGAGTCTTTAAAGCTTTAAGTTAAACATTCAAATAAGATTTTATATGAAATCATGTCCCGATGTTACTTCCATAGTTGCACTATTGCCTGAGAAATAAAATGGTTTTCTATTTATATGATTCATGGTGTTTAGGTGGTGGACGTAACCCGATGGATCCACGATTCGTATCCCATTTCAGTGTATTTTATGTGTCTCTACCAAGTCACGAAACACTATTTCGAATATTTTCAACCATTTTACAAGGTCACGTAGCTTTATTTCCGTATGAAGTTCGTGAATTAATACCAAGTTTAATTGCCACAACGTTACGAATCTATGAAGGTGTTTTAAAATATTTAGCACCTACTCCTACAAAATTCCACTACGTCTTTTCTCTACGTGATTTATCTCGTCTTGTCCAAGGTTTAATTCAAACAACGCCCGAACGATTTGATACTGTGTCAAAATTTAGTCGAGTATGGGTTCACGAATGTATTCGAATATTTAGCGATCGTTTGAATGATCAAAAAGATCAGGAAATATTCAATAATATATTACAAACAGCGATTGAAAAAAATTTTCTGCTGAAAAATCATATGGACTATCTAATGAGAACACCGATACTCTTTGGTGATTTTCGAAATGTATTACAAGAAGGAGAAGCTAAAATATATGAAGATTTACAGGTAAGATAGATGTAAACATATAATTTTACTTTTTAATGCAATTAATTTTAGGATTATCAAGCTGTCAAAGCAGTATTTGAAGAAATAATAATTGAATATAATGAACAACACGATAAATTAGAAATAGTTTTATTCAATGATGCATTAGAACATTTGATACGTATTTATCGTGTGTTAAAATTGGATTGTGGCCATATGTTGTTAATTGGATCGGGTGGATCGGGAAAACAATTGTTATCACGTATTGCTGCATTTACAGCTGATTGTCATCTATTTGAAATACAATTAACACGCAACTATAGTGAGACATCATTCCGTGAAGATCTGAAAATACTTTATATCCAAGTTGGACTAAGAAATATTAAAACCGTATTTATATTAAGCGATGATGTCATCGTTGAAGAAGGGTTCTTAGAATATATTAATAATATGTTATCATCAGGCATGGCTCCGACACTGTTCACTGAAGAAGTAAATTGTCTGACAAAGGAAGAACCCCAAGTTGAAAATCGTTTTTTCAATGAAACTAGGTGGACTATATGTAATTGATGACGCTAATTCCGAATATAAACATCGGAGTTACCCTTAAACTTTTGTTGACCGTCTTTCTGAAAACTGGGTCTTCAGAAAACCAGGAACCAAATCCAGAACATTTTTCTGAATTAGCCATTTTTAGAGAACATAAAACTGTCTATGTTCCATAAGTTTTAGTTTCGTCAACACAAAAATGAACAACGCAAGAAAATTTCCTAAAAGAATGGCTATGCTGGTTTTCGTGAAAAATGTTCAGTAGGATACTTTTTAAAATTATAGCACCGTTCATAATATTTTGAAAAACTAAAACTTATGGGATGTAGACAGCTTTGTGTCTTCTATAAAATGGCTAATTCAGAAAAATGTTCTGGATTTGATCCCTAAGGCTAAGGACAACTTCGATATTTATATTCGGAATCAGCGTCATCAATTACATATAGTCCACCTAGTTTCATTGGAAAACAATTTGCAACTTAGGGTTCTTCCCTCGTGATTTTTTTTTTCTGAAAATTGTAATGCATTCAATATTATTACAGGAACGTGATGGCATTATATCAGAAATAAGAGAAGAAGCAACACAAAATGGTCGACTATTATCAAAAGAAAATGTTTGGGATTATTTTATTAAAAAATGTACAACTAATTTTCATATTATTCTATGTATGAATCCCATTGGTGAAACACTTCGAAATCGAGCAAGAAATTTTCCAGCATTAATTAATAATACAACAATCGATTGGTTTATGAAATGGTACGCTCTCCGGTTTTTTTTTGAAATAAACACTACGATTTATATTTGTATTCTGTAGGCCTCAACAAGCATTATACGCTGTAGCTGAATATTTTGTTTCTCGATTTAAATTCATGTCGGATCAATATACAAATGATATTGTCGAACATATGGCAATGGTACATGAAAGTACTCATTTCTATTGTGATATGTTTACAGAAAAAATGCATCGTAGTGCCTATGTTACACCAAAAAATTATTTGGATTTTATTCACACATATTTGAGTTTATATAAACGTAAAAGACAAGAAATAGTTCAACAATCAGAGAGACTCAATGTGGGAATAATAAAGATTGATGAGGCCAGCACTGTCATCGAGGCAATGGATCGCCATCTACAAAAGCAAAGAAACGAATTAAGTAATAATGCGTATTAATTCACTTTTAGATGTTCAAGAGTGTCGGTATTGTTCTTGTTTCCGATGTCATGTAAAAGGGATAGAGAAATATGATCTTTAAACAGACTTTCGAATGATTCTGAGCCTTCTCGAATGTGTTTTCTCTCTGATCACCCTAGAAAATCGCGAAAAATTCAACTTAATACAGATTGGTACTGCTATAGTCAAGAAGAGGGTTAGAATTAATTTAGTCTTTTAAGGATGTTCTGACATCTTTGAGTTGTCTGTTGTTTCAAATCCATTTTCTGTTGCTGTTGAACGTTCTTCTAGAGTTGACTGGATTAGTTTGTAACCAAGTTTTTATATTTTTATGATACTTAGGGCTATCCAAAAGT